TCAGAGCCGTGTTTCTGGTTTTAAAATGTATTATCCGCTTTTGAGAAATTTTTATTTTGTTATTCAATTTTTCACCGCTTACAACTGTCTGCCTCTTGTTTTATTTTATACATTAACTTATAAGTAACAGTAACTGTTCGTTTCTTTTCGTTTCGTTCCATTTTTATTCCGTTTTGCACTTTACAGGTACCCCAAAAGCGATAATGATACGTATATTCTCTTTTTTCGCCGGTTTCTTTTATTTTTAATATCTAAATCAAAAATTAAAAAAAAATAAACTTTCATAAAACGAAATAATCAAAACTACACGTTAAGTTTAGTACTTTTAAAGTTTGATCAAATATCTTAACTATCAAATGTTGAAATGATTTTTAGAGTTTTAAAATCTTTATTATTTGGTGAGAATTCCAAATTTCAAAGATTTTCAAAGATTTGGAATTTTAATATTTTAAAAACTTTGATCAAAATTCCAAAAAAACTAAAATTTGAAAACTTTTTTAGATTTTGAATTGATAAGTGTTACATGGACCCTTGCCTGGATCTTGATATCTATATCTTAACGGAAAGCTTAATACCAAAATTTACGATAAAAGAGATGATTTTTCATTTCCTATTGTTAATTATCAATTTTTAGATGGTGACGTTCCTTTGTCACCATCTTATGATGTTTATATATCTCAACTGGTTTGATTCGCTCGTGTATGTAACAACGTATTTGATTTTAACAATAGAAATCTCTGTATAACTGAAAAAATTATTACACCAGGGTTTTCGATATCACAAAAGAGGGACAAAAGATACCAGAGGGACAGTCAAACTCATAGATTGAAAATAAACTGACAACGCCTTGGCTAAAAATAAAAAGACAAACAGACAAATAATAGTACAGAAGACACAACATAGAAAACTAAAGACTAAGCAACACAAACCCCACCAAAAACTCGGGGTGATCTCAGTTGCTCCGGAAGGGTAAGCAGATCCTGCACCACATGTGGCACCCGTCGTGTTGCTTATTTTATTACAAATCCGGTAAATAGTCTAATTCGGTAGGTCACATTCGTGAAAAGGGAAGGGTATTGTAGTTACGACATAAGGAACATATCCGATATCATCTGTGAAACGGTTATTCCTTAACGATCAACCAACTCGTGATGGCGTCCGTAAAATTTATGAAGGGTTGATTTCAATTTCACCATTTGGAACTCTTGGTTTAATAGCTTCCTTTTCAGCAGTAATCCTCTATCAAGGAAATCATGATAGGAAATACAAGCCCGGGAATATCGTATCAATTGGGAGATATATACTCCGTATGCAGGCGTTGCTGGAATGTTGCTACATAGAAATGGAAAGTTCACAATTGGGAAGCTGAAATCATAAACTAGTAAAAAAATACTAAATTTTATCATCGGTACAAGGACATCATTCGTAAATATAAATCAACATGCAGACATCTTATATGTTCAAGTATTGCACATCCAATATTTTATGGTAATATTCTATACAAAGCACAAACATGTCGTCATTCACCTCAAAAGCTAACCAAATCTTTAAACAGGCTTATTCAGAAGGAATATAGTTACGATACTGTTGTCAGGCCATTAAAGATGGTATATTTTGGAATTTATATTGATTTACTCATAGGGTCTTTGCATCGGAAATAAACACATTTATTCTGAGACCAGTTGTTGACATGATAGGCGTTATGTTCTCCTCATATATTTTATGATGGTATGATACTTAACCCTTCACGGGAGGGATTGTACTTGATTTTCATATGATGAAGACATAATCTTTCAATCAGTTTAATTGAGGTCTGGAACTGGCATGTCAGTAACTGCTAGTAGTCCTTTGTTAATTTATGTATCATTGTCATTTTGCTTAGTTTCTTCAGTAAATCTGTTACCTATTCTGACATTGGACTCGGACTTCTTTTTAACTGAGTTTAACTGTGCGTATTGCTGTGTGTTTGTTTATTCTACATTGGCTAGAGGTAAATCTCACAAAACATATTTAACCCCGCCGCATTTTTGCGCCTGTCCCAATTCAGGAGCATTTAGCCTTTGTTAGTTTTGTATGGTTTTTTAGTTTTAGTTCATTTATATATTTCGGAGTTTAGTGTGACGTCCATTTTCACTGAACTAGTACACATTTTTGTTTATGGGCCAGCTGAATCCCGCCTCCGGTTGCGGGATTTTCTCGTTGTGTTTAAGACCCATTGGTGACCTTCGGCTGTTTAATGCTCTATGGTCGGGTTGTTGTCTCCTTGACACATTCCCCGTTTCCATTCTCAACTTTATTTGCACTGGTGTTAATTACTGATTTATGGCCGAACAAAAGTTTATTAAGACTTTCTTTCGTTACATATACAAATCCGCTATGTTTACATCCTAATCCGGAGATGAGATTTATTGATTTACAATTCAGTTCATCCTAGTATAGTAAGATGTTTTTGGTAAATTGCTAGTAAATTGGGTATCTGTTATAAATAATGTAAATGTATTGCAGTTTTAGGTTTAACACTTAGAAAACTAGAAATTGTTTATTCATTAAGGTCAAACATGTATTGTATTAGAATTTTACACGAACGAGTGCGAAGAGTATTCCTATTGTCATTAGTATGATAATCTGAATGTGTCAAATGCGAGATATGTGTCGTATCTGATATCAAAGGAACACCTTTAGTTTCAAATTAATATATACTGCAGTGGACTATTTTACTCTCCAATAAAACTACCCAATACTAAATATTTGGCGAGGTATTGAAAAGAAACTATGCGGACAAAATTTTGACTTGTTGATCTTTTGCATGCTGGAGATTTTGTCTTTTTTTATTATAGTTGTGCTAGAAATAGTGTAAAATGAAGGGGGGGGGGGGGGGTTAAACTATGAGTAGTAGATCGTATTTGCTGCTAAGTTTTTTACGTTTAAAGCTGTAGTCTAAAATGAGGGTCTTAATGGGGTTTACATAATAGAGAATAATGGGTAAAATGTGCAGAATAAATGGCCAAAACAAAACAAAAAAGACAAAAATGGTGCGCTAAAATATAATGAATAGAGAATAATAGACAAAAAAATTGAGGAATACAGAAAAATGACCTACAAAATTAAAGAATACAGAAATGAAGGATCCCCACCCCCTAATCCAGACCCTCCTATATTTTTTGTTTTTCGTAAATTAGATAAAACAACTTATAAAGTGGACTAACAGTTTTCGTTTCAGGCAAATACATTGAACGAACGAATGAATCTTTATTGCAAAAGCCTAAACATGCTATGGCAAAATTAACAAAATATATTACATGATATAAAACATGGATAGACAGCAGAAAACAATAGTAAAATATTATGACAAATGTAAAGTTATGACACTATATGAGATCTAATATTCCATGCAGTTTTTATATACTTACACAATTTGATAGTGAAAGACTTACTCAGACGCTTGATTTATATACAAAAATTTATAAACATTAGGCCAAGAACAATTATAATTTGGTTAAAAATTGTGTTTGTACAGATCTTTAAGCTGGACAAACATGGTAACTACCACAAGGAGTTCACTGGTGATTTTAGCTATTTTAATTGAATTAATATCTAATTTTGTCTAGCTGGTTAATTTTTCTTTCTTATTGGTTTCTCTCTATCGTTTAAAGTTTTCAAGTTTTATTGATGTCAAACACAAAGAAATCAATAAAAATCATCATTGTAGTTCAAACAATCCTATAAGGGTCGATTGGTAATTTCGACCATTTGACTACTGTATCTAACAACTTATATACATGTAGCTGATTATTTTTGCTGTTGAAAGTTGTTATCTATCTATTATAGTTTTAATTGTACAAAGAAAATATCCAAAAATGGGTTAAAATCGTCATTGAATCGTTTACTCACATACGGGGGGAAAATGACGATTTAAGTCATTTATTAATAATAATTTTCCGATCATTTTCGCTTTCAACAACAGCAATTATTCCCATTTATATATCTACACATTTATTTGTAGATCTTGTTTTGTTGCTCAATTTTATTGTTTCAAATTTAACTCGTTCTATAGCTTCCGAAATGATAGATAACACAAGTTGCAATTTGTATCAATAGTAATTAAAGGACAATAACACTCAAAGGAAATCAACTGACAATCTCAATCATCTTGGTGTATTTGTAGATATTATTCTGCTGATCGCTCTTGGTGTTAACAATAAGTCTCTTTCTACTACATTGGTAGCTTCTACTTAAAGGTCAAAATGGATAAAAATTGTCATTGAGGATAATAACTCATATAAAAAATTTACATACGATTTCAGCTATGCTTGAGAAAAATAACAGACAATAAGTAATTTAAATCTTGACAAAAGGAGCAGTTTTTAACTTCCAGAGTGTTTCTATCTATACATTTAACAACGTCATTTGCACTATTGTTAATATCTGATATTGCCCGAATGCATGTGCATTCTGGGTTAGAACGTTAGACCACTCAATATTCTTTTTCACTTAAAAAAAAATAAATGCATGTGTCTATTTGGTAAGAACGCGAAACCACTCAATATTCTTTTTCACTTAAAAAAAAATAAATGCATGTGTCTATTTGGTAAGAACGCGAAACCACTCAATATTCTTTTTCACTTAAAAAAAAACCCCATAAAGGCATGTGCCTACTGGGTTAGAACGTAAAATCCTTTATGTAAATTGTACGTTCTAACACTGTATCATGCATACTGCGTCAACTTTTAATTCATCGCCCTGATCACTAAATTTCAATTTATTAAGTCATATGTAAAAATCGTAACTTTGACTTTTTATATGGAAAGTAAAACCATGTATAACAATATATAGATATTGTTAATTTAACTTAACACAATTCTTCCTTAGAGTCTTGCACTATACATGTATAAATCTCGAAATCAATCTAAAAATCTCAAAATAACATTCAACTGGGATAAGGTCCAATTTCTCTTAAAATCTGTGATGAATAAACGAACGAACATTCTTTTCTTTTTTAGCGTACAACCGACATGAATGAAGATCAATTACCAGTTGCTTATATTTTTCTGCTTTAACGTGGTTGCAGGTTAGACGAATTTAAAGATTTACACAAGGACTTTTACACCCCCCCCCCCCCCCCCCCCTCCAAAAGAAAAGCAGAAGTCGTGTATCACAATCGCAACAATAACAATCTTTTCTTTTCAAAGTGTCACAGATAAGTACACATAACACTTAAAATGTTAAAATCAGAGTTCATAATTATTTCCTTATACATGTAATTAAAACACTTATTTTCGTACAACTTTAATATCTTGATGTCTTTGTGTATGCACACAGTTTAACTTTCCAAGAGACTTGTTTGATAGATCTTTTTATGCAATTATTCCGTTTAACATTTAGCCAATCCGCAAGATTTCCATGGCCGAGAAGCGAAAAAAAAAGGGAAATTAGGTGATTGATTCTATAACCTTTACAAAAATAGCAAAGATACTTAAATAATATACATTTTGTTAAAAACCATGTTTTTTTAATACTATTTTGAAGCTTTACTATAGCAATAGCTTATAAAACTTAGATTCTTCAGTAAATTTTATAAAAGTATAAATTTGTTCTTTATTTGCAGATAGTATCTCATGGACTCTTTTAAATAAGCCAGCAATATTTGGCAACAAAGTTAGTCTGAAATGTCATCTCACATCAGCGTCTTTATGTTGCGACAGTTTTGCACGTAAGTGGTCTGCTGGAAAAACATTTGATTTAATCATACTGAATGGAGTTTCATCAAATAAAACCAAGTATACGGAAATAGTGGAACATAAATATAATATTTCTACCCTTATCATAACTGACTTCAATGAAAAGGACGTCAATATACCATACGAATGTACATATGGATTTGAAACGTTCAGCAAAATCTTAGAACTGACACCAGCAAATTTCGAATGTGAGTAGCAAGTAGTTGTTATTGATATTTGATAATGCAGAAGAAGGACAAAAGTGCTGACCTCTAAACCATTTTTTTTAGAGAAGTTTTTTTTCTTATAACCCCGCAGACTTAGGTCAGGGACATATAGTGTTACCCTTATCCGTCATTCTGTCATTCCGCAACGAACAATTATACGGACTTTTGTTTTAAACGCCTTCAGATATTGAGCTGATTTTTAGTATGTGAGTCTACTATGATGAGTTACATGTCGAGTTAACGTTCGGTTCCGCTCTGCTGATTTTTGCAAAAATTAAGGGCTTTGGACTTTGAAAAAATCGTGAAAATCCCATTACTGTTTTCATTTTGATATTGATGAACAACTTCAAGTTGAAATTGAATTTACATATAGGACACATACAGTGATCACAGGTCAGTTAGTTTGAGACCTGTAGTCCAAAGCTTTAAAACGGAAAAAAAGTTTGCTTGCAAAATTGTCTTAGCTGCATTTATCCCATTTCAAACCAATGATTCATCTTCTTTCTTTTAATTCTAGACTGAGGGGTCGACTGGATGATTTACTTGTTGATTGCTTTTCAGTCAGCGAGTCAGTGATATTTGTAAAAACCAAGATTAAACGGTTGTGTTATTTCTGTCAGATAATTTAGGAACATCTATATTCGTATGGAGCTTCAGTAAGAATATTTTCAACAAAAGAATCTGAAACGTTATTATCTTGAAAAAATGATAGTCCTAAAAAACATAAAATAACAAACATGACATTTCTTCATAGTCAATCTGAACAGCCGTTTGGATTACATGTGACCCTTTTACTGATGTTCAGCGCAAATTTCCTGTCAATTTTAAATAGGTGTATCAAATGTAAAGCGCATGTGTCCATCACGTTTGGAGCTCGCGTGTCTCTTCGTGATACAGCTTAAATGCACAAACCTATTGCGCCCTTACGTATACCTCATTATCCTATTTTTCATTTCACCAATTGATGCCTTCCGTTGGTGTCAAAAAATAGTAAAGTTATGATATAGGCAAAGGCACATACCGTTTGCTGATTTTAGCTGTAGAACAAAAGGACATTGCGCTTCAAACTTGATAGACACTAAGTGACTTCCACTTTGAATATGTTAAACGTATTCTGAATTGACGGGACATTTGCACTGTTCACATGTATACCTTACGAACTGTTCAGAAAAGACTTTGAAAAAAGAATTGCATTTAAATGTAATACGATATAACAATGGGATGTGATCTTTTAGGTAAATTAAAGCTACCAGTTCAATCATCTTTTTGATATAACTTTTCTTATAGTTCATCCTGTTGAACAAATTCCTGTTGAAATAGATGTTGACGAAAACCACAGTGCTGTTTCTAATATCACATTCAAAACTATTTATCCTGCTCCAGTTTGTTCAGCACTAGAAGATGTAAGTTTTTGCCGCGTTAAATAAAAACAATAACCACACCGTTTAACTGAGTGTACTCGTGGCCAACCGATGATGCATGTTGGGAAAAAATTGTCAACGGTAACGTATACATGCATGTACATATGTATGTACAAAAAATGTATGTATGTATGTATATACAACACTGTAGACAAACAACTATGATTCAAAGAATATGTCAAGGCCAACATTTTTATTGAAAATATAACAAAAAACACAATCTTTGTATAAATGTCTTCATCAGAAGCTTAAAGTTTTTGTTATATGGAATTCACAGCTCCTTACATATATTTTCTCTAACTTAAATGGAGAAAAAACAACACGTCTAAGAAAGTGGATTTTCTAAAATACTCAGTCATATCTATCCGCTTACTTCACAGTCTAGCTTTTATAAATGGAAAACAATCTCTTTTATTTTTATCGATATGTTAGTCTATGATATTGATCGCTCACATTTTGTTTATATATATATTTGCACAGGTAAATAATATATCCAGCAAACTATTTGTAAAAACAGATAAAAAAGGAATGTTTTTCACATCAAACATCTTGTTAGTATATGACGTGAGCAACAGCTGTTATAGTAGTAGAATCATCTTAGTACAATGTATTATTGGCAGAACAACTTTGACAATTGTAAACAGTACAATATCATGTTCACAAGGTTAGCAAAAGTATTATTTAGAATTGTTTTTTCTTTAATGGTACAGATGACAAATTTAAGAAACCACTAAGTAGAATGTATTTTAGTGATGGTATTCATAATATATCAGATTATTACATGTCATTTTTCATATCAGATGTATTATCAGCCCAAGGTTCAATATCAGCCCAAGGCATGACATGTTATGATCTTTTCGTCATATGCTTCAACAATGGAAAAAAATAACAGTTTAATATATTGATCATTTCAAGTGGTTCTCAAGTAGAAGTTCAAAAAGTAAAAGTTTACGGACGACGACGCCAAATGTAATAAATCCGATATGAAATCTTTCTATCATATGCCTCAACAGAGGAGAAGAACAACAGTATAATATATTTTTATATTCATGATAAAACAAAAATTCAAGAACACAAAATGAACACTGTTTGGAACTTGAAGTCAACATTTGTAAAGGCTTGCTAAATTATGCTGGAAACTTTGAAAAATGCATTTCTTGTATCATTTGTTTTGCATTTAACATTATATATTTTTCTGTTTCCTAATATTTGTTTTTTACGCTACTTTGTTATGGTTTTTACTGAAAACGTACCATTGAGATGTATTTTCCGGAATTTGCCAAGTAACGCCGGAATGCCTTGCGATAACGGTACGGAAAGGCATGCGATAATAGCAGGACGCAGTTGATAAATTTTTCATATCAGCCCGCTAATCACCATTTCGGAAAATATGGAATTCACGTAAATCAAATTATATCATCAAACTGTTAAAATTATAAGTTATTTACTCTAATTATATGATAATATTGTTAATCGTCTTGAACATGCATGAACTATTTGCCACTGGAAGCTAAGCAAACAACAATCAATCAATCATAATATTGTTTGCACTATTCGTGTATGGTACTACATGTACGTCAATTTATTTTCTTTCTAAAATCATTTATGTATATGTAACATCCATATTCAATAAAACCTTTCTGGTGATTATTTCCAATCATTAAGAATACTTTGTGATTAACCACAAAAGTTTTGGCCGGTTTATTTAAAGAAACTAGCTGTAACGAAGTATAAAAAATGCCCACTGACACCGCCAAAAGATTAACATGACAATAAAGGCTAAATATTGAAGAAAGGTGTAAAGTGTGTTTCCTTTTTGAAATCGATTTAAAACAATTGGAACAGGTGTAAATGCATAGAATATATAGAATATAAAAATCTGGTTTCTATGTTGATCCAAAATTGTCTGACGACTTCTTTTTGCAATTTTTGCCTTTCAATGTCGTTTTTTTAAACATTTTTGTAATTTTGGCTAATATTTGGAAATTTTAATGGAGAGAAACTGCAAATGAATAAAATTGAGAATGGAAATGGGGAATGTGTCGAAGAAACAACAACCCAACCAAAGAGCATAAAACAGCCCAAGGCCACCAATGGGTCTTCAACACAGCAAGAAAATCCCGCAACCGATGGCGGGTTTCAGCTGGCCCCTAAACAAAAATGTTTACTAGTTCAGTGAAAACTCCAAAACATATAATTGAACTAAAATTAAAAAAAAACATACAAGACTAACAAAGGCCAGAGGCTCCTGACTTGGGACAGGCGCAAAAAAAAAAAAACGGCGGGGTTAAACATGTTTTGTGAGATCTCAACCATCTCCCTATATCTCTAGCCAATGTAGAATAAACAAACACACAGAAAAACGCACAGTAAAACTCAGTTTAAAAGAAGTCCGAGTCCGATGTCAGAATAGTTAACAGAAGAAACTAAGCAAAATGACAATGATACATAAATTAACAAAGTACTACTAGCAGTTACTGACATGCCAGCTCCAGACCTCAATTAAACTGACTGAAAGATTATGTCTTCATCATATGAAAATCAAGCACATTCCCTCCCTTTAGGGGTTTAGTATCATACCATCATACATTATATGAGAAGAACATAACCCGTATGATGCCAACTACTTGTTTTAGAATAAATGTGTTTATTTCTTATGCAAAGACCCTATGAGTGAATCAATATTAATTCTAAAATATGCCATCTTCATTGACCTGACAACAGTATCGTAACTATATCCTTTCTGAATAAGTCTGTTTAAAGGTCTGGTTAGCTTTTGAGGTGAATGATCTATTATCTGCAGGATTATATCTGCAATTAAGTCAACATGACCGAAATCGTCAATCGACTAAAGTTCCTTTTTTCGGGTTATTTTCCTTGATAATAAACAATAACTGTCTTTTGATTAGGTAAATATGTGGTTGTATTGACTTGAGAAAACACTGTTACTCAATGAGGCCAAAACCAAAGTGGGTTTGTTGGTTTCCTCTGACAAAATAGCATAAGCATGGAAATATAACTAGAAAGGGTTTGTGTTTAACAACATGTTTAAAAACTTTAAGAAAATAGGATAGTTTTTATATAAAAAAATTCCTCCAAGGTTGAATGGGGAAAAGAAATATGGTCACCCTTGGTCTTCTTCCGACCGGCGGTAAAACCCTTGACAAAGTGGGACGTCCGTTTGGCTGTGAGGGATGTACAAGTACGCAGCCGCGTCCGGTCAGAGTTGGGACGTTAAATCCGATATCTCGTGAAAAGATAATGAATGCCACGGTCTTTGGAGGTTAAGCACCTTGCAAAAACTTTTTGAGGGGTCCGTAGGTGTCCTTTTGCAAAGCCAAATGTCTGTCCTTATCAAATATACCCTCATTGTCCAGTGGTAGTCCAAATATTCCCGACCTTCATCACGGACGGCCCCTATTATAAGACATTTCTGTTGCATTTATTGTTAATTTGTTCTCCTCCTGAACATGCATGAAATAATCGCCATGGACGTTAAACAACCAACAAACAATCAATATATAAACAGTTGACGGTTAAACATCATTGACTTTCAAATATTCTGAAGGTAGATTGAGGAAAAAGTAAAATCACAAAAATACTGAACTCCGAGGAAAATTCAATCGGAAAGTCCCTAATCACATGGCAAAATCAAATGACAAAACACATCAAACGAATGGACAACAACTGTCATATTCCTGACTTGGTACAGGCATTTTCAAATGTAGAAAATGGTGGATTGAACCTGGTTTTATAGCGCTAAACCTCTCACTTGTACGACAGTCTTATCAAATTCCGTTATATTTACAACGATGCGTGAACAAAACAGACATTATAAATAAAATAGTCAAAATATGGGTACAACAGTCATCACTGTGTTACAATATCAAAACAAACAATTATTTACAAAAAAGCACAAAAGCATCTATCAAATTAAAAACCACATTCATTGCTTCGCGTGTCTGACGTCAGAAAATGTAAACGTCACATAAGAAGAAATTTTGTCATTCAATGTTTATTCAAAACAATTTTATAATTTCACATGGGGAATGTTGGTATACAGGGTTAAAAAATCAAAAGTTATGTTAGAATTAATTTCAGAAATAGACCGAGATTTAAAATTGTCCAGAAGTTCTTTAGAATTTTTAAGAATCCACATATGGTTAATACCACTACGCGAGTAAAATAAATTTGTCGTTTGTCGTTCAAAGTATTTTCAAATTTATAATAGAACAATAACATAATGACATATAATAGAACAATAACATACTATTTGGATGCATACAATTTATAAAGCGTTGATTTAACTATTTATCTATTTTACATATTTAAGAATGCTCATCAATTTTTTTATTAAAATAAACATGTAGATAATGTTTACAATGGTTTAATATATTAAACATATCGTACTAAAGAAATCGTTATAGCTACAAGAGTAAAGACATAAATACGAAATATACAAGAAATGCAATAATTGGGATTAGAAAACAAGAGAACACTCACATTAACACATGATTAAGTTAAACGATATTTCCGTATTATCTTAAATATTTACATTTTTGTATTTAAATAGTTGGTTAATGTAACTAAATACAGAAACAATTGGTGAATAAACATAAAAAAAAGAAACATTATCAGCATGCAATTGACCTTACCCAACATATTTGTGTAAAATTAATATATATCTTAATTGAAACTTCTTCAATGTTGATCACCTCCAAGTAGTGTTGACATTTTAAATAAATATAAATCAAAATGTCAAAAATTGTGTAACAGTGTAACAATCCCTTTTGAATTATATCTTCAATAAAAGGATACATAAATCTGACTTATGTTAATTTAGACACGGAAATAACGATTATGCTAAGTGGCGTTTGTTTATTTTTATTTCAGCACCACCGACTGGGCTGATTTGGAAGCCCTTATTGCTTTCGGTTGTAGTATGTTTATCAGTAATTTTGATTGCGACAACTTTAATCTACTACTATCGAATAAAATGTAAGTTTTTGAAAAGCAAACTTTTTTTAAAATACTATATGAGCCGGGGATATGATTCCTTCATAGTAGACATATTTACTTTACAATTAAGCCCTTCTTTGCTTGTCTTATGAAGTGTAGGACTTAATGAATATATTGATGTATACATGTATCAACTATCGATATTATTTTATATGTTAGAACATAAATATCATGTATTCTCTCTCAAATCATAAATAATACATGTAGCTTTAGATTACATTTTGTTTTAAATCCCATTAATAGTGTGACCGTATTTTAGCTGTAAATTGTGTAAAGAACATCTAAAAAAAGTTAAAATAAGCCCAAACGTTTAGTGCTTTTGGTGGTTTTCTTCTGTGGTTATTTTCAAATAAATCATTGAAGATAGGGAAGGAAGTGTATAATTGATACTGTTTTTCATTGATTATATGTATTGTTATCGGTCTATTTTGTAGGGAAATGTTTGAAGTATTGTCGGCATACAACAGAACAAAAAGAATCAAATATCGCCATGATTAACCGAGTACCTGGTACAGAATGACAATTGTGTTTTATAACCAAAACATTCCTAAACTAATGTTTACTTAAATGTTTTATGGTAGGGAAACAATTCTGCCTCACCAACCTACTCCGATTCTAGCAGTTATATTGCATAAAAGTAAGCCTTGTGCAGTATATTTGTCAGAGATACAATGCACCAGCGTAGATATATTTAAAAGAAACCGTGAACCCAGAGGGTGTATCGTATCTTTTTACGAACTACCGTTATCCATTGTGTTTCGTACTTACTATTCTACGTTATGACGAATTTTTCTAATTACATTTCTTTTCATATTTAAACCCTATAGGTTCTAGTGAACTCTAAGAATCACGTGTTTCTATAGAATTGTGTATCAACACCACTCTTTGTTAGAAGGTTTTTTGACAAAGATGCATACAAAATCGGACGAATTTACAGTATAATTAAGAAATAAAACGTTTATCAGTGACAAAATAAAGTACAGTAGACTTTTTTATAAGTAACATTTTTTCTTACATTTTGAGGACGTAGTTTTTTTAACAAACAACCAGCATCCTTATGGGAACAGATTGAGCTACTCTTCTTGCCGACTTGTTCCTTTATTCAGACGGGACAGACTTCACGCAGGAGCTTCTGGGGAAGGTAAAATGAAGAGAGCATTATCCTTTAACTTCATGTTCCGCTATACAGATGATTTCCTCCCACTTAATAATCTAAAGTTTGGTGACTATGTGGAATATCCCCTCGAACTTAAAATAAAGGATATCATAGATACAGTAAATCTGCATCATACACAATCAATGACGGTTGAGAACGAAACTTTATGACACAAGGGATGATTTTAGCTACACAATTATGAACTTTTGATTTCTATGTAGCAACATTCCAGCAGCGCCTGCATGTGGAGTATTAACCTCCCAGTTGATACGATATTACCGACTTTTCATAACATGATTTACTTGATAGAGGGTTGCTGCTTACATGGAAGCTATTTAACAAAGAGTTCCAAATGATAAAGTTGAAGTCATCCCTCGAAAATTTTACGGACCCCATCGTGAGTTGGTAGGCCGTTATCGAATATCTGTGCAGCAGATTATCATGGATTTGTTCCAACTGTCGTAGCCACAATCCCGTCCACTTTCGTTTGATTGTGAATGACATTACTGAATGAGACAGATTTGTACTCCCATACAATACACAACAGGTGCTATATGTGACGCAGGAACTGCTTACCCTATCGAAGCACTTGCGTTAACCCTCGGTTTTTGGTGAGGTTCGTGTTGCTAAATTTCTAGTTGTCTATGTACTATTGTGTTGGCTTCTGAGTCTTTTCGTCGTTTTTTTTTCGCCCTTGAGTTTTTCTTCGACTAGAATATAATATGATGTGCATTTATTTTTTTGTCGTCATTATTTTTCTACTTCTTTATCAAATCTTATGAGGTAAAGAAGTTTTAAATAAAGTATTTATGTCTGATTAAATTGAACACCTTAATTTATTCACTTATTATTATTGCTTTGAAATATCAGATATATATAATTATATATAATTATTGTCTACTAGGGACACACAAATCACTTAACAACTGTGATTTAACTCTTAATAATGTCATATATTGAGTCTTGGTAGTATTCATAATTTATCAATCTTAAATTGTAAGCATAATCATTAATATTATTTAATATTATGTTAATAGTATTTGGATTTAGAAATATAAATTTTACAAATGAGTGAATCATATAAACATTCAACGCTTTTAAAAAGAAGCTGTTAAACTGGTGACCCAAAAAAATTAAAATTTTATTACACCAATATCCATGCGCTCGACAGGTATTTTCCTTTTTTTCTAGAACACAAGTTTTGAAAACCAAGAAAATATGTGTTATTACAGAAAAAAAAACCTATACAGAAAGGCTTTTATAATTTATAACTTTTATAAGACAATATTTGAAGAGAGAGTAAAAGTGTACTAACAAAATATATAAACTGAAACTTTAAAGAGAGGAAAGGTTAATTTTTTATTCAAGTTTTATGAAAGTAAATTAAAGATTTAGCTTATTATGAGCGTTGTCATTCATGATAGATAAGATTACAAAACAAACATCAGAATAATGTCATTATTGTATTTTCTGTAAACGGCAGCAGTCCTTTTGCGCTAATTGTTATTTTTGAGATGTATCATATGCGCCAAATAAAAGTTTAGCAAGGTCTATGAAGTGCGCCAATGCTCGGAATTTGTCTGTGCCTATTTACCTGTACATATGTGTATCATACATACTAATTGTTAATGAAATTAGTTACCTTAAAAAAGGTACAGTTGATGGTCAAATGTTGCTTCAAAGATGACGCAAAAGGACCCATTTTTGGCGCAAACGGACTTCACATTTGTTAAAGTAGTTACAATCAACATTTGTCTGAGGGAAACGGATAAAATTTTTATTTATTTTTGATGAACATTTAAAAAAAACACTAAAATTAAATTTCCTTTTCTCTAACCACATTAAATTGACTGTGTTTTAACGTAATATGTGTGTTCTATGTGCTTTGATCAAACAATGAATAAACATTCCAACATAACTTGTCATATCAAAGCAAATAGAACAAACATAGTGCTTGACTGAACTATAAAACTTTAAGCCTAGGACTGACTGACACCTTATTTATGTATAATTATATATTTTTTGATAGCACGATGCAAAGTAAACAAATCATTGATGTGCTTATACTCCAGGACCAATAAAGTTAAGTTATGTGTAAACAAACATAAATAAAAAGAGCTGTTTACCTTTAACACTTTAAAATAGGCCTAATTCAATTTTATTGCATATTTTAAACTCTTTCATCAAATTCCATAATATTACAAAAAGGCTGTCATAGTGTATTGAAAACAAAATAAGGTGTTGATTGTATTTGCAAATCTGTAAAAATGAAATAACCACCTGCAAATACATTCAATGTTTTATTTTGCGTTTATTTAACAGTTTTGTTGAAAATGTAAAAACTTTAGGTCTTAGCTCGAAAAAGTTCTTTATCATATAGTTACCAAGTAAATTTACTCGACATATTGCTATTACGTAGCAAATTTAAATTGAGAGACGTCATTGTCATTTAGTCTCTTTGTGTTGATGTTTTCACTCTATACATAACGAGACAAACCAATTTCTAACGATTTACTTCCGTATAGATTTACTATTATTAAAGAAAACATATCATATCAAAATGATCAAAACGTATCAGTTTTGCATCGCCTGCAACAACAGTCGTAGAATGCGCGATATGGCGATACTAAACTACAGATGCCTTATGAACTGGGGTTTCCCTCTAGCATATTTCCAATGCCCTTGACCTTATTTGCATGGTTCACCGGCTACTTAATGTCAAGTGATTTTATTCAGGTTTTTGTCTCGTCTTGACGGAGTCAAAAAGCGAGACATAGGTATGATGTTTCCGGTGTCGACAATGTATTAGTTTTTGATAAGGTACCCGACCTTGATCTCTGAGTTCACGGTTCAGTGATCAACGTTATGTTTTCGTGATATTGTCCGTTTCGCAGATAATATTAACAATATGTCAATTACGTTTGGTGTATTGAGTGATTGTTAGTTGTACATGTCCGTCTTGCCTGTTTCATATATATCGCCGTGAAGTGTTTTTTGTTTGTTATTTGTTTATTGTTTAAAAGTTATTTCATGATAAAATAGTTTACGCCGTCGCCGTTTCGTCGCATGTCCGATTGGCATGGCACAAAACACAGCTAACGTAAAGACAAAGACACTAAGTACCGATATCAGAGTACTTGTAGTTAAAGCTAGTTCAAAGCCAATGACAATTTCTACATAAATCATGTTCTCCCTGACTATAGCACGTGTATTGAATGATTGTTATGTGTAGATGTCCGTCTAGCAGGTCTACATTCTACGTTACATGATGAGGTTACTTCTTGACATGATGTAAAAATTCCATTACATGACGCGAAACTTTCCTTACGTGATGTTAAAACGTCATTACACATGTATGTCGTATTTCTATAACATTGGGCAAAAAGATATACATTGTTATGTCAAATGGGTAATACGTGGTAACAATCTCATTAAAATACAGATCCTGTGTCCAAGCTTTGCTTACAAGTATCTGAAAACGCTTCGTTCTACTTTCTGTTTTAAAAGGACTTCCGGATCCCTCTGGCTTTGTTGGATTAATACACACCTTCACAAATTTGAAGTCCGAAATTTCATTGCCGGGCTGGTGTAATAATTACCAGAACAGAAAGTAAAACGGAGTGTTGTCAGATCCTTGTAAGCAAAGCTTGGACACAAGATCTGCATTTTAATCAGATTGACGTGGTAAGAAACACATATAACGTTATGTGAACACTTCATTATGTCAAAACATCTTTTTGAAAACACGAACCTCTCGTACGTAATTGCATATGCATTTATAGAAAGAAACGGGCATAAAAGTATCCGAAAGAAATGGTAGGCATGGCGGGTGTATATCAAATTCTTGAAAGAATAGGGAAAACCGCATTGGGGAGCACATTCCGACCAAAGTGACTCGGTTAGCAGATTAAAATTTTTTTTATCAATGTTTTCAATTTCTGCATTTTCTGTCTATTTAATAATTTGTATTACATTAGTAACATACTTAACGTTGGCATCAATAATTCTTTATAACAATCATGTTGTAGTTCAGTCCAAACACTGAAAGGCTATTTTGATACTTGCTGAGTTAATGAATAATATTTTCTTGAACAATTGAGTATTTTTTCCCGGAAAATTAAGTCAATTCTTTCCTTAACATTATTGCGTAATTTCTTTCCATAACAACTGAGTAACTTCTTTCCTTAACAAATAATTTGTTCTTGAACAAATGCTTGAAGGCGTCAGAGCAATAAAATACAATATTCTTTCAAGACATCATAATTATTTGGACTATGTATAGTTGCAATGTCAGAATATCCTTCTATCCCTCCCCAACTAAAAATATTAAATGATTGCTCTCAAACTATCAGTTTTTTTTCTTGACTGAATGTGAATTTCTGGTGAGACATCGTCCATGCATGTAGATATTATCACATCAAGGTTTAATATAGTTAACAGAGACGGATTTAGGGGGGTGGGGGTGCAGGGGCCCGGCACCCCTTATTGAGATTCATAGATGATAAATGCATAGACTTTTTACAAGTATCACTTTAAACGTTGGATTTCCAGGCCCCTCCCCCTTTTTCAAAATCCTGGATCCGCACCTGATAAATCCTTGACCACGTCAATATTTTTCGGTAACTACTCGATTTTAGTGAATGTAACTAGGTTTTATTCGTTTGCTCATAATTTTGTCATAGCTTTTTATTCCGTGGATAGTAGTTGTGAAGAACATTTGCTTTCGATTCGTATGAGGATTATCGTTGTAATAAACGAATCGATCGGGAAATTTCCAAATGACGGATATCTCCCATTTCGTCTATGTTATTCAAAATCGACACGCTTGCCAGTTAT